GTTAATATCACCTATTCATGACAAAAGGCTGCAAGTATTGGTAACCTCTAAAACTTATTGTGGTGAACATGAATTTTCAAAGTTTTTCCTTGAAATGTCAAATTTTATTATTGGTAATAACAACTATCATACAATTTTCTCGAAATGCCAAGTTCATTTCATGTACTTTTCAAAGGAAATTCCAACAAAATAATCCACTGTGAATAACCATGATTTTCTCTCCATTGTTCATTCAGATAAAAAAACAGTGTTGCAAAGGGGTATTGTACATAGTGCAGTTTGTAACTCAAGCAGTCATGCAAATGCTTTTGCTGAAGTTAGCCATGTAACTTCAGTACGTACTCTGCATCCTTCCCTTTTTGTCACAAACATATTTGAGTTACATGAGTTCAAGGATATTGAGTTAATTAAGTAAATAATGTTTACTTTGTAAAGTACATTCTTAAGTGAAACTATTTATTAACTCAGAGTGTAAGTCATGAAAGAAAATAACTCCAATTTACAGTTTGATATGACTTCCTTGATTTGTACTGAAACATCAGCAGTTTTATTTAACATTGGTTTTCCACCATCAGACAACTCTAAGAGAGTGAAAAAAAATGCTTTTGACCTTTGCAGATCCGGGGAAAGTTTCATGGGGAAATTTACATGTGTATGGACTACAACTGCTGCATGTATTTCCAAATCTCCCCCCCCAAATGTCGGAAGATAGGGCTTTTGTTCTCTTATTTATACTCTCATTGTTTCAAAGCTGACTTTGGAATTGTTCACTGTTTTGTACTTCCAACCTTTGCTTCTGCATTAGTTTGGGTCTGCAGACACAAAGACAAGATTGAATATGCAATGGATTTATTTAGCAAGATAGTAAGTGACAAGTGGCAGGAGCTTTCAAACTGTTTTCACTTCTGATAGCTATGGAAACAGAGGGGAAAGAGGGGCTGAGTAAAAAGGGGCTTGGTTTAGAGGACTTGTGGAGGAGTGTTTCAGCCAGGTCAATGTAGAGACCTCAAACCAGGGTCTTGCTGTACAAGGCACATGTCCGGGCACAACTGACCTACCTTAGTGCCTCCCCCATGATCAGTCATAGGCTGGGCAAAGCCATGTACCTACTGATAGATTCAGAGGGAAAATGGCTGGGGCCTTCTGTCCATCATACTTGCTGTGACACAAAAAACTCCAAGTGACACATTTTCATGATACCCGTGATGTATGCCTTGCACCAAACCCATCCACTTTTCTGAACAGGCTTTGGGAGCATCATCAATTGTTATAGTTCTGTCTCCCTGAGAGGAAAGAACAAACAAAGTTCTGTGGACAAACAACAAACACTGCCACTGCAGTTGATTTGGGACCATGACTGATACTTGTCTTCTCCCTCCTTTCTTCACTATTCATGTTAGATTCCCCCCCCCCCAAAAAAAAGATGCAAAGAATTTCTGGGTTCCAGGCAAGAAGAAGCGATATGGATCAGAACATCAAAATCTAGAGCTTTACTTGCTACAGCAATGATCTTAGGTTAGGTGCGTGCGTGCGTGCGTGCCTGTGTGTGAGTGTGATCAACTACGATTCAATAAAAGCTTTGTAAAAAAAAACTTTCAACAACAGCTAGTAATTAGTATAGCCCATATTTAACCCTCACTTTGAAAATACGCAAGCAACACTAGTTTAAACAAAGAACACTTGCTTTGAAAAATCTGACAATAAACTGGCTCAATGTATCACTCTGCAGTTTCTCCATGGAGATAATGTAGGCTCAAAGGCACTGGCACAGAACAGCTGAAACCTCTGGAGGTGGTTCTTCCTCTTCAAGTATCAAATATTGCGAGATATTTCAAAACACTTTGATAATATCAGACTGATACCCTCTTCTAGGTAATTTCATAGGCACGGTATCTTATTAAGCCTTAACCTTTCCTTTATGAAGAAATATGAAAACTTACAGGTAAATCCTCATTAATAGCAGTTGTTAGCTGGCATTTGGTATATGCCTACTGGTTCCCGCTGCTTCCTGAGAAGTAAATATAATCCTACAGCACCTCATTTTCCCCTGAGCCTATCATCAGGCCTCATCTACAGATCCCCAGGGATATTTAACTTTTAACCACTTCTTTGATTTTATTTTCAGTACCTTTATTTTATAAAAGAACCATTGCTTCCTGTAAAAATTTGGTGCTGAAAGCAAACACCATCTTTTTAACTCCTGGGGAAAAAGGCAACTGAATCAGATTTTTAATAAGAGGTTGAAAATATCACCTCATCTTCATCTTTTTT